AGTCTCCCTCCATCACAGCCTAAGGACATTGGACAACTTTCTCATTCACATCTCCTACTTATGACAGAAACTCTAGTTTCAGAGGCGCATTTAAGTATCAAGTATATTCTGATTGCCTTGTTCATGTCCTCATTCGAAAGCCCTATTCAATATCCTACGTATGTCCATTTGTTTTCCAAGAAGGACTTGTCCTTGAGTACGTTCAATTGAATTTGAAAAGACTACATGCTGCATGTGAACAATGAAACCAACGTTGGAAAACACATTTCAAACTCTACTCAGATGCAAATTATACCTCAGATTACTTTTTCGGTAATTGTTCAGAATGAATATTCAGCAAACCTCTTATCTGCTGGTTAATGTTTCTGTGATTAGATAAAAATGGGCAATGAAAGATTTTCTCCTAATCACTCTTTGATTAGCAGTAAGGAAAGAAACACAAGAATAAAAACATGGATTTTTTTAACTCTTAAAAGGTATTTTAAATCATGCATTCCCTTTTGATAATTTCTCAAATTAATTACTAGGAAGCATTTCATTCAGTTAAAATAAAAGGCTTTTGCATACACTCAATATTTATGACTTTCAAATGGGTACTTTTCCAGTTTTTCTCTCTACTCCATTTTAACTTGCATGTTAATAACAATCCAAAACTCAGGATTAATAAGGCTGTTCTAAAAATAAATTTAGGCATCATGAGAGAAACTCAAGTGAGTTAAATAAAATTTGAAAGGGCTTTAAAGGATATATACATAACCTTATAAATATATGAAAATTAATTTTAAATGTCAAATAATTTCATAACATAAAGTACTTATGAAAATATCCTAAACTAACCAAGGATAAAGGGTGGCAAATAACTAGAAAGTCTACATATATATATACACACACACACATAGACAATTTATGACAAAGGAGTCAAGAATATATAATGGGAAAAGGAGAGTCTATTCAATAAATGGTACTGGGAAAATTGAACAGACATATACAAAGGAATGAATTTTGATCTCCACCTTATAGGACACACAAAAATCAACTCAAAACAGATTAAAACTTGGCTATTAGACCTGTTTTCTAGAAGACAAAATAAGCTCCTGATATCAGTGTTGCATGGAAGTTTTGGATCTGACGCCAAAAGCAAAGGCAACAAAAGTAAAAATAAACAAGTGGGACCACATCAAACCACAAAGCTTCCGCACAGCAAAGGAAACCATCCACAAAAGGAAATGATGCCCTACTGAATGGGAGAAGATATCTGCAAATCATATATATACAATAAGGAGTTAATATCCAAAATATATAAGGAACTCAAACAACTCAACAGCAAAAAACAACCTAATTTTAAAAATGGGCAGAGGATCTATAGAGATTTTTTTTTCCAAAACAGACATAAAATGACCAACAGGCACATGAAAAGATGTCCAACATCACTAATCAGCAGAGAAATGCAAATCAAAACCACAATGAGATAGCACCTCGCAACTGTTAAAATGGCTATTATCAAAAGCACAAGAAATAACAAATTCCATAGAGGATGTGGAGAGAAGGGAGCCCTTATACACTGCTGGTGGGAATATACTGATGCAGCCACGATGGAAAACAGTAGGAAGGCTCCTCAAAGTTAAGAAGAGAACTACCATATAATCCAGCTATTCCACTTCTGGGTATTTACCCAAAGAAAACAAAAGCACTAATTCAAAAAGATACATCCTAGCAACATTAGCTACAATAGCCAAGGTATGGACACAACTAAATTTCTATTGGTGGATGACTGGATAAAGAATATATGGTGTATACACACACAATGGACTACTATTCAGCCATAAAAAAGGAAATGTTGCCATTTGCAACAACATAGGTGGACCTCAAAGGCATTATGCTAAGTGAAATAAGTCAGAGAAAGATAAATACCACAAGATTTCATTTACATGTGAAATATAAAAAACAAAACAAACAAACAAAATGAAACCAAACAGATACAGAGAACAGGTTCACAGTTATCAGAGGGGAAGGGGGTAGGGGAGTGGGTGAAATGGGTGAAGGAGGACAGTTGGAGGGTGATGGATGGTACTAGATGTATTGTGGTGATCACTTTGTGGTGTATACAAAGATTAAATTATTCTGTTGTACACTTGAAACTAACAGAATGTTACTTTACTTCAACTAAAACAAAAAGGACTACATGATAACATTTTAAAGAATTATTAAAATGACTTACTTTCTTCTTTCTTGCTAATAATTGCAGGCAAGGTATAAATCTAAAAAACAAAGAGAGTCAATCAGTTACTTGCAATTAATGACCCAGCACAGATTACCAGAGTGACACTGGAACAGTGATACACAAAGGGAGTGTCTGAATTTCGAGGTCTTACAACTGCTGTGTCCGCAATGCCATCTCCCCACCCTATCATCCAGTCTTGTCTTCCACTCCTCCCCTGGCTGTCCTGCCCTGAGCAAAGTTTTATCCCTTTCTCTGTGGCCTAAGTGTCTCATTCTGTCCTCCAACATGATGCATCCATTCCCTTCTTCAGGAAGTATCTCACGATGGGTTTCACCTGGTTGTTCCTTCCTCAAATCACTGGCTTAGTGTTTTTTCTCAATGTGTACAATTCTTAACTTGTACTTGTCGCGCTATCTCAGTGTCTTCTAAATGTTCTCCAGGCTGATCAAGGCCTGCCTCTCAACTACTAGTGGTAAAGAGGCAAACTGTTTTGTTTCTAATTTTTAATCTGTCGCTGACTGACATTTTTGTAAAATTACAATACAATTTAAATGTAATAAACATATAGATACAGAGTCCAAGCTTTTTATTATTAAATTCCCAACAAATGGAACATGACTTCTTCTAATGGTTATAAAATTTTCCAGACGCTTGATCATCATCTCTGCACTCATCTTACTGTTGCCTGGCAACAGTCAGGACGGCCTGAAAGTCTGGGGGCCACACGTTGTGTGGCTCTGCTGTTGTACAGGTACTTCTCGCAAGGATGTTCACAAGTTCTCTGCCATTTTAGAAGACAGTTTTCAAGGGACACACTGGGGCCTTCTGTTTGCTTGGTGTGTTCATCCCTCTAATCATTTAGCGCAGTGTTCTTCACAAAAGCCTTCAGTGATTTATTCCCCTTTTTACATAAGCCTCCCTGATAATTTTAAGTAAATTATGCCAACATCAAAATAGCTACTAGTAAAATGGGGACCTGGATAGAAGGAAAATGACACGCCACAGCTTTATCAAATGAGACTTTTAAACAATAGTCTAGACTAGAATTAGTTCCTACCCTAAAACTTGCTCATCACGCTGATGATCATGTAGCCCAGCATGGGCCTAGCAAAGAGTGGGCACTCAAGAATTACTAACTAAATAAGGGAAGGCAATCAATGCAGCCAAATTAACGATTACAAGTAATTTTTTCAAAGTCATTTTGGGGTTTTAAATTAGTCCTGGAACTTGGTGCTAAGCGCCAGGGACGCAACCTTATAAAAACAGTTAAGAGCCTCCACTCCCCTGATTTGCTATTTTAATATTTTCAAATACTCTATAGGCACATAAAATTTTTTCAGATGTACTCTGAAATTATTAGAACAATAAAACAAATCAGAGAATGTGTCATATTCTCACCGGTTCCTTCCCATCCATGGCTTCAAGCCAGAGTTTCCGATTAGCTTCTGAGAAGGCCTGCAACGTGATGATCCCATGCCTGTTAAAGCAAATATTTCATATATTTAGTTTATTACTTTTATGCCTTGACACATTAATTATTTTTTAAATTCTTAGTTAACTATAAAAGTAAAATTTGAAGAAAATTCAGGAATGAGAAAAAAGAAATGAAGAGAAAAGAAGAAAGAGAAGAAAAAAAGAAGAAATTTTAAGAAATGAAAAGAAAATCATTAAGTGCTTTAAATATAAGACCGTCTGAAGGAGGCTAGTTTCAAACAATTTCCCCTGAAATGACCAAAAAGGATGACAGAGCTACATTCACTAAAGTTCAAAACCACCTAAACATTCCACAATATGAGAATAATTAAGATAATGACTCCAATGTGGTAAAATCTAGTCACTAAAAATAATTATGAGTATTTAACAATACAGAAAGCGTTATATACCATAAGCAGTTAATTATTCAAAAGACACTAAAACCAAAGTGCTTATATATATAATAATCACATATCATAGTTAGTACATTTGAAAACAACTGTCTCTCATGCACTCATTCTGAAAGAGTTACTTGAGGATGTACTTCAAGAAATAGAAATCAAAGGGGGAGAGGAAACCAATGTAAGAGAGAAAAAGATGAAGAATCTAGAAAAAGTGAAATTAAGCTAATGAACTGTGCAGGCTGTTCAGAAGATGAACAGAAAATTACAGGGCTCTGTGAAGACGGGCATCAAGAAGGAAATCTCATTCAAATGTTGTGTGATTAAAAGTCCAGAATGAGTTAAAACTGTGATAAAAACATACATCTCTCATGTAAATAGGAAAGCAGTTCATTAGATTCATAGGAAAAGGAATAAATGTATTATATAGAAGAAGGTAATTTTATCTTGGAGAATATAAGCCAGTCTAAAGCACCAATAATCACAACAACCAATACTTATTGGTTGTTTACCGTGTGTCAGGCACTGTGTTGTAAGTCACATTTCCTTTATTATCTCATTTATTTGTCACAACCACCCTTTGATATGGGTACTGATTATCCTTGTTTTATAGATGAAACAACCAAAATACAGAGGTTAACAGTGTGCTCCAAGGTTATATATCTGGAAAGTGTCGGGAAAAAAAAAAAGGGAAACCACTAATATGTTGGTATTTAAGAAAATATAAATATAGATAAATATGTAAATATATACCAACAAAATACTTTCTACATAGAAAATCCAGAAGTTCCTACTACAAAACTACTAAAACCAAAAGAGTTCAACCACTATGTTGGACATAGATTGATATATAAACAAATGTAACAGCCTTTCCGTATCACAGTCTCAACCATAAAACAAGAGTGTCTACTAATGAAAAGAATTCTAATCAAAATTTCAATAAAAAGAAGATGCCCAAAAATAAATCTGAAAAAAAATGTATAAAATCTTAGGGAGAGGTCAACTCTCCATTGATTAATTAATAACTCTAACAGAACTCCAATCAAAAATCCCAAAGGACTTTCTGGAGAGAAAAGAAATTTAATAAACAGATCTATAAAGTGTAAGAACACAGGGCCAAAATAGCTGACCCGAGGTTTTGGTTTTTTTTTTAATTTTAAAATTAAAAAAAACATTTTGTTTGTTTTTTATTTTTCTATTGAAGTACCATGAGTGACAATGTGCTAATTTCTGGTCTACAGCACAATGTCCCAGTCATGCATATACATACATGTATTCATTTTGATATTCTTTTTCATTAAAGGTTATTACAAGATATTGAACATAGCTCCCTACGCTATATAGCAGAAACTTTTTTAAAAATCTGTTTCTATATATAGTGGCTAACACTTGCAAATTAGATGTGGATACCTCTGTGCACCAGTCAAGCAACTTTATATCATCTCCACGGACGTCTACATTTAAAGACGTGTAAGAACGGCGCCTTGCCCTACCACATAGTTACAAGCTACAGTGTGTGTGAGCTATGGTATATACGAGTACCTACAGCACATCACAGTGCCTTACATTCTGTGTACACACACACCAACACACGGAGCTAGAGTATTCTGAAAAGTATGGTGGTGACGCAGGCGAAGAAAAATAGATAACAGAATGCAACAGAGATTGAGAAGCATAGCCATCCTTATTTTGTTTCCACTCTGCTTGCACTGAAGCAATAGAAGAGGAGAGCTAAATACTTCCCCTCGATTACAAACTTGAATGTACAACTTCTACATCTCTCCCAGTACCCTATGGCTAAGAATGTCCAGAACAGTGTTTTGCACATGGTATGCACTGAATCTCACTGGTGGAAGGAAGCTTATGGTATCTGTAGCTGTATCATTTCTCAGAAGCAAGGCCAGTAGGTCTCAAAATCATTTAACAGGCTGACCCAGGAGCCATGAACAATGCTACCAGGCTCCCTCATTGTGATGGGGACTCAGTCCACGACCTGCACTTTCCTCGAATGCAGTCATTTTTATTGATTTTCCAGATTTTCCACTGAGCGATATTCCTCTTTGGTAAGACTGTGTCTGGTGTTTTTTGGAAAGCATCTTGCAATACACATTTGTTGAACAAACAAGTGAAAAAAGTGAAACAGAAATGCACACTGGTTTTTAAAGAGAGACTGAAAAATTAACACTTTAGGCTGCTTCCTATCTATCTATACAGAGAAAGAAAGAAATAATTTAGCTTATTAAAAAATGTAAAGCGGAAAGCTCAAACCTTTCGACTACTTCTATGTCAAAGCAGAATCGTTTGTCAATTGAATCTGTCTTTCGTCGGATACAGGATTTTAATTTAAACATTTCTGGCGAGCTAGTAACAAGGCCATTCTGAAACAAGAAACGGGGCACATTACTGACATGACGACAAGGTGAGTCAACATACATTAAACACAGCATCTAAAGTTTCCAAATTAAAATGTCAACTTAGAGTACAGTTTATATATTAGGATCATAATTACACCCTTTAAGTGTTTCTGTAAATACAAAGACTTATGCCTAATGTTAACTTCCCGACTAATACATCAAACCATTTGTTATTAATCACATATACATGTTTTACTCAAAGAATTCTGTGCCGTGCCTGTCCAGTACCCTTCAACATATCTACTCATCATGCTAATGTGTACTGTACTGTGTCTGTGTGTTTGTATCAGAGCTGTCAAGTATTAAATGCTGGCTGCCTCAAAACCTCAAGAGAGCTACCAAAATGAAAAAGTTGTAGGAGACACCTGCTATAGCGCTGTTACGATCACGCACACCACGTGACTCCCCTGCTGGTAACCAACTGCTGATCTGCTACTAAAACTAAAACTGAACCTCTTTGGACAGGATCCAGCACAGGCTTCATTCATAACTCTCTTCTGTACCTGAGATGCTAGTCAGTTTAAAGGGGAACACTTACCTAATGCCTGCTTAATTCTATGATCTTTGATTGCAAATCTCATACATTTACTAACAAAACTTTGGCTTGGTCTATTAGTTCATTGACTGCCACAAAAACTGACAACATCTTTTCTTTCTTTCTTCTTCTTCTTCTTTTTTTTAATGGAGGCACTGGGGATTGAACCCCTTGTACACGCTCAGCACACACTCTACCACTGAGCTGTACCCTCCCTCCGACAAACTCTTTTCTGATGAAACCTTTAGAGGAGAATCTAGGCATGATCGTAGCATTTAATACTTTCACATGATGGTAGCAATCTAAGCACGTTCTAGATGAACGCTTTCATCTAATACGTTCTCTTTTACTTCATGTCTCTCAGTTTGAATAATAAGACTCTAATGAACGCCCACGCATGGTTAAGTTTCAGCTGATGTACCTGAACATGATCTACGCCATGATCTGGGTAAAATAATCTTTAAGATAACCCCCGGCTCTAGGATTCTTAGATGACGGCTCAGTTATCTAACTGGCAAGTTCAGCCGTTCGCCATATTCATATCTTAACTCACAAAAGGACTGCACGCTACACGCAATAAAGGTGTCACATTCCTCAGCACTTCCGCCAACAAAGTACACCTTGTTCTGTACTGTCCGCTACTCCTGCGAGACGTTCAGTGACGAATTTACTTTAGGGGTAAATAAGCACTGATTGGTTTCTTGTGAGCAACTTTGTTGGCCAGCATTTCAGAAAACAGTACACGGTGCAGAAAAGGAAGTGGCGTGTGGGGGCAGACCCACCTACAAGGCACCACTTGGAGGGAAGACGCAGACACCTTGAGCCTGGTCCAGCCGCCGACAAGCCTATGCAGGCTGTTGGCCAACCAGCAGCACAGACAACTGTGCTGCCAGCGATGTGGGGGGACCCCAGCTGAGATGTCCCGACATTTAATAACGCTGCTTAGAAACATTCTATGGCCAAAGGGAAACACAAATCCCGGCCACGCTTTCATCAGTGTCATTAAAGCGAGAGAAACTTTTTTGACTTTCCAATTTTTAAAAATCGTGTGCATGTTTATTAGAAAAACAAGCATACAAGACTTTTTATTTGTTTGTTTTATTTCCATTAATTAAACAACAAGATCAGTTAAAAAAAAAAACTCACCATTTTCCCACTGGATTTCATTTCTGAAACACTCATTGTAAATGTTTTACTTCCCTTATCATATGTACAGTAATGTTTAGTCCATGTAAAACCGAGCGGTCCTAATGTAAGGAAAAAAACATTACAGACTGTTAGTAAATGATTTGTAACTAAGTTTGTACAGTTTTCAGTACTCTGAAACACAAATGAGTGTTTCCATAGACCGCCGTGCAAGTTGGGATTGTTAACGGCGAGTGAGGTCAGTCTGGTGTGAGAGTGGTGGAGGGTAGAGTGTCCCGCCATCAAACAATGCGGCTTTATTTGCAGTGTGGACACTCACTCTGTAAACTCAAGAGTTACTTTAGATCTGAACTGCAGTCATCTCATCTGTAAAAGTGATACACTTGTATCCCAGAGAGGTAGGAAGAAAGAGAAAGAATAGTCTGAGTTACTGCAACAGGTCTCCTTACTTCTAGCTTCGTCCTCTATTCTCAGAACTGCCGGAAGTACCCTGCTAAAAATTTAGCCAGGTCATTTCACCCCTTTGTTTAAAACCCTCCAGCATTTCCCACATTACCCCAGATAAAAACCGAAGACCCCACAGGATCTGGCTCCTCAGTACTGACCTTACTACCTTTTGCCTCATACATTCTCCTCCAGCTACACTGGTCCCCTGGTTAGGCTTTGAACCCAGTGCATGCATTTCTACCCCAGGGCATTTGCACTTACTGGACGACTTTTCCTTCAGATAGCTGCATGACTTGCACTGTCACTTTATGTCTTTTCTTGAATGTCACCTTTATAATATGGCGTCTTCTGTAGAGATGTTGAACATCACAACACCCACCTTGGTATTTCTCATCTCTCTTTCTTGCTCTACTTTCTTCTCAGCAGTTATCACCGCTATGGCTAACATTTTACTAATTTATCCTATTTCTTGTTTGTCTCCGTCATTAGACGCTAAGGCTCTCTGAGAGCAGGAATAAGTGATGAACAGGGCCAGATATACAGTCATGGCTCAATAAAGATTTGATAAATAAATGAATCACCCATCTTTCTCTAAGACTCAAGTGACCATGGAGTTATTTCCTTTTACCACTAATCTGAAAAAAGGTGAATTCAAACTACAGCTTAAAATGAAAATAATTTCTACTCTTTGTATTAAAAGGATGTACGTGTACAATGCTCACTTTCTTCCCCGCCCCTCCATAAACACTGTGCATCCTTTTCCCACAGCACATCACTTGTCCTCCAGGACTCTTAACAACTGGATGCTGCTGCTTCCGGCACAGGGATGCATAATGAGTTCCACGTTGCCCCGACCAAGGCAGAAGCCCTCCAGCTCTCGCACGGGGAAGCCAATCATCTGCACTCAAATGCCAGAGTGGGCTGAGGGGGCTGAAAACGGAACTGCTTTCCCGTACAGCGTCTCCAGGTAGGGTCGCATCCTGCTTAACACCTGGACCTCTCTAGCCACAACTGTGCACAATGCTATTGCTGGCTTGGTTTTATAACCATATATCCAAAAGCCAGAAACTGAAATGGAAAAATGCAACTCTTGAGAAAAGTGTTTCATGAGCCATTTGAATTTTTTTTTCCTGTAATAACAGTGCCCTTGGTGTCATGTTTAGCCTTTCTACTTAAACCACTCCAGATTTTAAAATTACGGGGTGCAGCCCTATACTTGGTAATCACCAAGGATTATTGTAATTAACTTCAATTCTGTTTGGGGACCATTTCACTCTATAATACTTAACAATACTTGTCGGTAATTCTGTTACACGCAGTGCAAAATACTTAAAGGCTTAGAGCTGATTAGTGGAAAGTGGCTGGATGGAAATCCTCACAGTGACTTTACCACTTAGGAAGCGATTTATGAGGCAATATTAACTATAATTTTTAAATAAAACTGCTGCAACACTCTGATGACATTTCAGACCCAAGATGCTCTTTCCCGCCTCCATCCTGAGTTCAGAACCACATGCATTTAGTCTTCCCGTGTGTTGCACACACATGTTGCTTTCTTTAAAGCTGCCTGGCACCAGGCCAGGGCAGATGTACTTAGGCAAGCGAATCTGAAGTCCCAGGGGAAAAAAAAAAGTCTAGGGAAATAAAATTTATTGCAGCTCTAAAGTTGCAAAAGAAGCCAAGTTCAATTGTCTTTCCCAGTAATCAGCTGCGGTCGCTGAGACGATGGTGGTGGAATGGGGGGGCGTTAACACTCACTGGACACCTGCTAAGGGCCAGCACTTTAGCTGGGAGCCTTTAAAGTCAGACGTTACAAAGAACATCTTACATAGACGAAAACGAAGCTTAAGAGCTGCAGGTGGTACTACGGTTTCAACAGGGCATCGGGCTGCGGTCGTTTTTTAGAGCGATAATGTTTCCCAAGAGTTGTTTTGAGAATTAAACGAGATAAATACAAATTGCAAGACTGCTAAGGGCTCCCAGGAAGCACAGTAGCATGATCATGCACTGCTACTGATGACTGAGACGTTTTACACACGTTACCCCTAATTCTTGCAACATTATCCTGAGATCGGTATAAATACCCCTCTTTTATAAATGAGGAGACTGAGCTCAGAAAGCTGTTCACCCAGAATCACCCCGTTAACAGGCGGCACAGAATCCAGACATAGTTCTGTCCGACTCTGGACCCCACGCTCTTCCTGGTGAAACTGAAGTCCACTGGAAAGCAGTTTAACGTCTGCCTAGAGGTGGGCAGCACAAACCCCACAAACCCAGATAAAGTGGAGCTCTGTGTCCCAACGGCAATAATCTGCTACCGTCCCCATTACATCCATCTCCATTTATCACTCAATTTACAGCCCTGATATTTACTATTGATCACCGGCTGCTAATTGTGTGCATCTGCCTGTGCTTTCTGCTCAGAACAAACACCCTGAAGCCACGCTCCTCATCTCATTTTCTGTCCCCCACAGAACTTACTCAGACAGCAAGCGCACGATCAACACGTCTTAGTGGGCTGGTCAGATTTTCTTACTATAAATGCTCTCGAAGATTCCAAGTAGAAAGGGCTCTGAATACTTGTCTCTCATAGAAAAATAATCCCAACAGCATATAAATCTCTTTATTTTTCTTTGTAAATCCCTAGGCGAGGGGAGAACAGTAACTGAGGATGAAAGGAGGAAGGAAGTATAATGGGGCAGAAGAACGCTTTTGAATGTGATGAATACATTCATTATGTTGATTGTGGTGATGGTTTTGTAGGTACACACATTTGGCAAAATTTATCAAACTGTACACTTTAACTATTTGCAAGTTACTGCATGCCAAGTGCACCTCACTAAAGCTATAAAGACAACACAGGCAGATATGGAGAAAAATCAAGATGGAAACTGTTGTGGGACTGGGAAGGCAACATGATGCTGAGAGGATGCTGAAAAAAAGAGGAGGGGTCCAAATGTGAGAGCCCCGAATGCCCTGCATGGCCAGCGGCCATCACAGGAGAGGCACAACCGAGCTAGCGCTGTAGAGGGAGCTGCTGGGAGCTCTCTGAGAATGGACGGAGGTGGACAAGCCTGGAGGCGAAGCGAGAATAGTTAGGAGGCCATTGCGAGGCTGTGGAGATGGAGGGAAGGTGTGGGTTCAAAGGTTACCAAGGAGGTAAAATGAACAGACTTGGACCCAGGCTACAGAGACACACCAGAGTTAAAGATTTACCTAAGCTTTTTAGTCCAAGAAGAGATGTTATGAATTAGAGAAACAGAAACCCTCAGGGAAAAGGTCAGTGCCACAGAGGGCTTCACGGTCAGATCAGACTGACTGAGAGGAGAAGTCAGATATCTCAGAACAAAAGGTATCACCATCAGATAGGTGCATAAACACTGCAACTGGTCCAGCCATCCAGCCCCCACATTATTAAAGGGTTTATGTTTATAGTTCGATCCAAAAGTCCAACAGTGAGGAACGGGTAAGCAAACCATGGCACCATCCAATGATGGACTACCGAGTAGGGCCTGAACAAGACAGATCTGAATTTTGCTAGCTAATCCAAAGCTTTTCGGTTTAGAACAAGATATTGTACACCCACACAGATTTTAGCAACTGTGTTAACACTTTGCACTGGCGGGGGGCGACCCTCAAGAAACAAAATATTATTGAGTTACAATGAACAAGAAAATCTTCAGGCAAGAGGACGGTGCCTCCATCAGATGCAGATCTGAACAGATCTCACTATCAACACAGTCTTCCACTCAGCAAGATCCTTTATTGACACGAAACGC